CGTTTGAAATCCAGTTCTAACATGCAACAAATAAAGCAACAGAAAAAAAAAAACATTGTTAAATGTAGCTGTGTGGTTGACTGATTATTTTCCTAAATGTAAAATAGTTTGCATTGACAGAATTTGTTATTGTGATTTTTTTTAAATAATACGCCTAAAGCCCAATGGGTCAAATTTGGACCTAATCCTAAATTAGGGAATAAAGGGTAAAATTGGAAAAGTGGATATTTTGGTGTTCAGTGAACTTATAGCAGTAATTTCATGCATTGTTTCATGCATAATTTCCCAAGTTCTCCAGGGTTAAATATTTAAATCAGAGGGTGCAGCAATTTAACAAAGTTGCGTCAAATAGGTTTCTAGAACAGTGAATAAAATGTTGAAAATTAGCTAGAATATATTTTTGTATATGTGACAAACTCTGGTGGTGATATGCATAAGAATAACTTAAGGAAAGTTTTATGTTTGTACAGGTTAAGAATAGTATTTTATTTTATTATAATTTTTTTATTGAGAAAACGTTAAAGGGAAATTTGAATCCGTGAAACAAAAAAATCTCAATTCTGCATGTTATTTCACATCAATCATCTTTCTAATACATTTAGTTATCCTTTTCAGGTTAAGAATAGTAGATGTACTAACTTAGTAGGCCTATACTGTGATAAACTTTAGAGAAATTGTCACAAATGAAAATTAAATTTTGGTGATACAGAATTTAAAATAAAACTATTGATATGTAAAATATTCAACTGTATCTTGTAGAATACACTCTAATAAATAATTTTTGTAATTTAAATGTGTGCTTGTGTGTGTAGTTTTAAATAGTTTTCTATTAAGTTTCATCAAATGTTGATTATACAGTATATGAGCATGATTGACTATAGGCATAGGGCTCCACTTAGGGCTCCATTGTCACGGTGTGGCTCAGGCAAGGAACGAGGAGTCCGGAGTATCGGCAAAGATCAGGTTTTAATATATACAAAACAGGCAGGAAGACAGGAACACGGGCGCCACACGGGCTTACAACAAACATCCATAGACAACGACCGACCAAGACAGAATGAAACTGAGGGAACTAAATACACAGAGGAATCAGACATAATGGGGTGAAAACAGATGAAACAGGACGCTGAACGGGAGGCTGATGAGGGAGTGAGTTCAGGTGTGCAGACGAGAGGATCATGGGAAGTGTAGTGCAGGAGACGCAGACAGGATGGTGCAGACGCAGACTGTAACATCCATAAGATAAGAGCAAGCGCTTGAGTGAACTGCAGCATTACACTGCTGGTAAACTGCACTGTTTTATTACTTCACTTTCAAAAAAAAAAAAAAAAAACAATTCTGATAATTTACTCTGATGTCAAAGATATCCATGTCTTTCTTTCTTCAGTCGAAAATAAATTAAGGTTTTTGAGGAAAACATTCTAGGATTTTTCTACACAGACTTCAATGGTAACCAAAAATTCACATTTTCAAAGAAGGTTCAAATGTCCGTCTAAATGTAGCTTCGAAGTCTCGACATGATCCCAGTCAAGAAGTAAGGGTCTAATCTAGTGAAATGATCGGTCATTAAAAAATAATAATAATAAAGTGTATATATATATATATATATACTTTTGAAACTTCTTTGAACATTTGAATAGTTTGCTATCGAAGTCCATAAGTGATACATGGATATCTTGGATGACATCAGGGTGAGTTTGAAAGTCAACTTAATACTTTAAGACATATGCTGGACATGAATATTAAATTAGCATTATTTTCCTATGTTTTTACATCAAGAAAATCTGGTAACACTTTAAAATAATAGTCCGTAGTTAACAAGTAGCTATGCAGGAAGTAATAGGTAGTACTGCATTAACACCGAACTTAATACTATTAACTAATATGGAAGCAATATTAACTAAGCAGTAAGTAATAGGTAATTTAGTACAAAGGTAGTTCCTTGGTGTAGTTCCTTCTCTACAATGAAAATTTTAAACCCGGAAGACGAAAAAAGCGGAAAAAAACTCAAATTTAACCATTTTAACCTTATTATTAAATCTAACAGATGCTAACATTGTCTTCAATGGTGTTCAACACACATACCTCTGTTATAATCTCAGAAAATTTGGTTTGGGGTTTCATGACCCTTTAATAGCCTCAACCCATTTGGCAAAGGACACAAAGCGCCCATCAAGCCAACTACTAAACACCGTGCTAAGGGTATTTTAGAAGAAACCGAGTCACTTCTCCTTGGGCTCAAAATGAAAGGTAGAGACAACACACTTGTACATGTGCATTCCACACAGAAAAAGACACCCATCTATGGTTTCATTGCTTGTGGCAGAAGTGTGATGGGCATCTACGAAGACCTGGTAGAGCAGCCAGCTGCCCCATGCCGATACCTTCTGACCTACAAACTCAGTCAGGACCACTTGGAGTTGTTCTTCTCTGCAGTCAGAGCGCGTGGAGGTTACAACAACAACCCCAATGTAAGGCAGTTCAGAGGGGCATATAAGCGCCTCCTTGTAAGGCATCAGGTGAAAAGGGGCACAGGCAACTGTCTCCTTCGAGACAACACAACCATCCTTGACTCAACAATTGCGACTGTAATCATCGCTCGCCGGGTGGATGTGGAGCCTGTGGAAGTCCTTGTGCCTGAGGATGACTCCCTCTGTGAACTTCCAGATGTTGACAATCTTTCTGAGTACAAGGAAGCAGCAATCTCTTACATCACAGGCTTCATCGTGAAAAAGATGAAAGAGAAGGTTACTTGCATGCCTTGCTCACAAGCACTCACCTCAGATGACTTGGTGCATCGATTCATTCGTTTGAAGGACAGGGGTGGCCTACAGAAACCATCTCCAGGCATCACTGCAGTTTGCCAAGCTACAGAAAGATGCTTTCAGCGGCTGCTAAAAACCAATGAGGGAAGGGCTCCACAGGGAAGAGGAACAACAGCAACCACTGTCACCCAGGTTCTTTCTGATTGTTCTGAGAAGAATCTCTTCCCACAGCTGCACAATCACATGTTTGACATGTGTGTTGAAGCTAACCATGTCCATGTTCTGGTGAAGATGGCTTCTGCATGGTACTGCAAAGTTCGATTAAATCATATAGCAAGGCGGACGACAGATAAAATTAAAGAAGGCAAGGTGGTCCGAAAAAAAAACTCACAAAATTAATCAATTTTTATGGAGATTAAGGGAAAGGTGGTTGGTAAGGTGTGTGTGTGTGTGTTTGTTTGTTTGTTACTGTACAGTATGTTTTTCTATGTGTATGTCAGAATGTAGCTAACTCTCTTTGGAAACATTGTAAATGTTACTTGGAGCCTGCATGAAAGGGGCCTAAGTAACATTCAATGTCTGCTGTAAAAGAAGTACTATATACATGTGTTGTTGTTATTGTATATAGAGTGTGTACAGTGTGTATATATGTATACATCTACATATAATGTAAATTGTATATTGATTGTATATACTGTGTGTGTATATATTTATACATCCATGTAAGTGATTATTTTATTGTGGTCTGTTCTTCTTTTAACATTCCTCTAAGCTGCTGTGCCTGTACTTGAATAAAGGAACATCTTATCTTATCCTATCTTATACTAATGAAGCGCTTCTATAAAGAAAACCCCATCGCTTCCCAGGATGATTTTCGGTTGGAGTCCGCATGAACGGGCCCCGACTCTTACAAATCACATGCTGCGATGCTACAGTAACATGCAATATTGACGTAGTTGTAAGTTGTACATAGAGCCTTTATACATAGTGCCTTCCTTAACTCACACAGATATCACTGATTAAACTTATAGTTTGTATGTCACTTATAGTTCCCATGTCCCATGTTAAGGACTGTTCAATATCTCTTAGAGTTCGCATGAACGGGGCCTAAGATGATATTGATAAGTTTGCCATTTGTTATGTGAAATACATAAGCAACCTCCTTGGTCAATGTTTTTGTGTATAGTTTCTGGAATTCTGTGTCAAATTCAAGGATCAGTTCATGACATATTTACAAAAAAAATCTTAACAAAATGTGTGTGTATATATATATATAAGTATTCTCTCATGTTAAGTTGCTAGCTTAAAAAAGTAAACATCCATGGTTGGTTTTGATTTTATATTACATATATTGAGTTATTGAAGTGTTATGGTAATACATGAATATAGTATTTTAAGTTATGTTATAAAAAATATCTTTAAATCTAATGGCCATTTTCATTAAGGGCTGGGCAAAATGTTCATTTTTGTTCCTATCCCTCAGTTTTCACCATTGTGTATTGCTTTTCCAGCATTGTATCGGTCGCATGTTCTCTATTTTTTTTCATGTCTTGTGCCTTTTGTTTTGTAGTGTCTTGTAAGTTTGTCCCGTTATATGTTCTCACTCCTGGTCTGCACCTTGTCGTGGTGGGTGGGCTTTAAACCAAGACAGGCCATACTGAATGTATTCTACTAGTATTTTTTAACCTTGTCATCTTTCTCTCATATATGGTGTGTGACATCCCCTACTTTTGTGTATGCTTTGTCAGTAACCGTACTCATGCTGTCTGTTGATGTGCCAGAGGAGCTGATTCCAGTATCCACGAGGAGCGTTCTGATCCCAGCTTCCATCATGGCTCTATATCTTCTGTCATTGCCTGCACTCTTTTTCTTTGCTTAGATTTTTGTTTAACTTGTACTCCCCCCTTATCCTATGTTATCCACACACATTCACATTATTAAAATGTTTAAAATACCGTATCTAAAGTTGCAGTTATGCTGTTTTTCTTTAAATAACCCCATGTTCATGGCAACTCATTTTTGATAAACATTAAAACAATAATCAAAACATTTTTCTAAATTTACTTCATAAAACAATGAAATGAAAAATCAATGCATGCCTTAAAAACTGCTCAAACAACGGTGAAAGATTGAATCTCTTTTATTAAAAGGTTCTTTCCAGATATTGCTGCAGAGACCATGGGATGGTGGTGGTGGTGGGATGGGGGGGGGGGGGGGGGGGGGGGTTAGGGATGAGGAAGAGCAGAGGTGGTAACAGTGTTATGGCTACAGGTGTTTCTAAATTAACATAAAAACCTCAACATTAGACATGATGGTCAGGGCTATATTTGAGCCTTACAAAAATGGCCATAAAGGCAAAATTCAAAAGCAGTAACACTGCCAACTGTACGCAGTTCACTGCATTTGAATGTGGCCTTTAAGGCAGTTAGCTAATGTACTTAAAAACATATCATTTCCCCTAGGTGTGAAATGAACTCCATCTTTCAAAAATAGCCCAGGACTGTCATGTCTAATGCAAGGGTGCTCAATCATGGCACTATTTAAACTACGAACAAATGTAGCCATAACACTGTTAACAAACTTTCTCGCCTTGTCAATTTTAACTGGATTGGCACCAGCCTTCCACCGGCACCTCTGGGTCACAGCTGAAAACATGATCTTCATGCCAGGGTGCCGGAGTTTATGCTGGAGCAGGTCCTCCTTCATGGTGTTCACCAGCTGGACGCTGCTGACCACCCCCAGGTCATTGCCGCCACAGTGGATGAGGAGGACATCCGGTGCTGCTCTTCCTCGGAGGGAGTGGGAGAAGAACGGAAGAAGTCCTTTCCACCGCAGCCCACCACAACCAAACCAACAGACACGGACGCCTGGCAGACTGAGGTTGGTTCCCATGGTCTCTGCAGCTCTCTGGACACCACGTCTGACATAGCTGTCACCAATGATCCACACTGTGTCTATGAAAATAAATGAGTTTAATAAATGCATGAGGTAATGAAAAATAAGAATTTAACAATGAAATGTTGCTCAATTTTTTATGTTGACAATTCTGTCACATGTGGGAGAACAGAAGGGAGCAACACCTCAAATTTAGATGACAATCTGATTTGTTGTCCTTTTAAGACAGACATTATAAGCTGTCAAATAGCAGTACTTACAGTTTAAGCTATGTGCAGACATGGTGCATTTGTCGCGGGTGGCCATCATCTCAAAATCGATCACTAAAAAAAAAAAAAAAATACACAGCTTGTAAAAAATACGCTAACTAATGTACTGTAAATGGGTAATAACATTTTTAATGTTAGCTAATCCGATTTTAATCTAAACCGATCTTAATAACGTTATATTCAGTTGACATCCAAATAGGCTACACACTCATAAATGCAGGTTCAGTGATTTGCTTCAAGTTGTTTCTTTGAGATGCACGTTTTTAAATAAAGTTATAACGTAAATTTTTATTCATGACAACTATTAACGTTTTCTGCAAGTCATCTAATGTTGCAAATAAACGTTACCACATGTATTATAAGTGCTGCAGCGTTTTAAACTTTGTTTATATTAATATCAATAACATATAAATAGTTATTTCAAGTTTTGTTGTGTAGGTTCAGGTTCATTTACCTCAAATTGTAAGCTTGGTTTGATTCGGTTCAAAATCCAACCGCCAATATCTTCCATTCAAAGACAACTTGATAGCGTCGAGCTAGGTGGGCGTGTTTTCAGCAGCAGGTTCCGCGGCTCCACCCACGTGCCGCCTAGTTCACCATTTTCGATTTTCCGGGAGTGACGCAATGCCAAGATGGCGACGGTTGGCTACGCCCACTTTAGGCTTCAAAAACGGTCTTCAGAAACCTACGGGTGACGTCACGGATACTACGTCCATATTTTTTTACAGTCTATGGTTTAGACTGGTACTTAATAATAATAATAACCCAGTTAGTGTATGGTTAATAGTAGCCTATTGAAAAATGGATTTAAAAGGCTATGTTTGTTTTACATTTTTTTTCCCAATATGACTATTCAAGCTGTTAGGAATTAGAAAAATTAGGAATGTTAAATAGGCTTAAATGTATATTGCAGCACAGGATGAAGTCAGTATGTACATTAACGACGATTTGAGACAAATAAATGCAAATTTAATATAAAACTATGCAAATGGCGCTCTGTGGCGCGGCAGGGTTTTGAACACGGTCCTGAGCCGTAGCTGGGCGGCGCAGACAGACGCCGAATGGCGCCGCCGGTGTGTACACACATAAAGAATAATGTGTTCGAATTTTGAAGACATGGTGTGCGACCCCCTTTAGTGTTTGTGGAAGTTACCATTCATCTGTCGTCTTCTCATAGCACTCCACATCACAGGTGGTGCTTATTCCGTCGAACCCTCCGACAGCAAACAACCGACCATTAACTACCTGGATTTTGAGGAAGTTAAAAAGGAAAATAAATAATGTACAGCTAAAGTCTTTAAATTTACATTAATAAATCTCATTATAGATGCAACGCTTCATTTAAAGGGATACTCCGCATTTTTGGGAAATATGCTCATTTTACAACTACCTCAGGGTTAAACGTTTGAGTTTTACCGTTTTCTAATCCATTCATTCTGGTATTTAGAAGAATATCAGTAACCAGACACTTTCTGGTCTCATTGACTTCCATAGTAGGAAAAAAATACTATGGAAGTCAATGAGACCAGAAACTGTCTGGTTACTGATATTCTTTTAAATATCATAAAATCGGTTGAATATATTCGAAAACGGTTTAACTCTGGGGGAGTTGTAAAATGAGCCTATTTCCAAAAAAAAAAGTGGAGTATCCCTTTAAATATCATTAGAATGTTTTGACACACATTGATCTTTGACTTTTAAGACAATTTTAGGGTGCAATTATTGTCAATATGGGACCAAATACATTTTCCCCCATATTCATTATCATCAAATCATTTTTGTAAAGTAAGTTATTTCATAGTTTCAGCAGAGACAGATATTAACTGACCACATCTCACCTCAATGCCAAAGTTGCTGCTTGGATTGTACATTGCTGCCACGTCATGCCAATTGTTGGTCTGTGGATTGTAGCCCTCTGAACTACGCAAATAATTTGTTCCATCAAATCCACCAACCTTTAAATAAATACACTTTTTATTTATCTATTCTGTGCATTTGTATATGCACATTGCACAACCATGCATGTATTTACTTAAGTGCAACCTTTAAACTGTGATTGATCCATATTTCTGTATTTGTGTTATGGTTATCATTGTTAATTAAAACTAAACCCTGATATGTGTGTGTGTGTGTGTGTGTTTAATACTCACAGCATACACAAGATCTGCATAAGCAATTGATGCCACATCATGCCAATTGGTTGTCAGCGGATTGTAGCCCTCTGTACTTCGCAAACAATTGGTTCCATCAAAACCACCAACCTTTAAATAAATACACTTTTTATTTATCTATTCTGTGCATTTGTATATGCACATTGCACAACCATGCATGTATTTACTTAAGTGCAAGCTTTAAACTGTGATTGATCCATATTTCTGTATTTGTGTTATGGTTATCATTGTTAATTAAAACTAAACCCTGATATGTGTGTGTGTGTGTGTGTTTAATACTCACAGCATACACTAGATCTGCATAAGCAATCACACCAACAACACTGCGGCGGCTGCTCATGGGAGCGATGAGAGTCAACTGGTTCCAGTGGACTCTCATCGCTCCCATGAGCAGCCGCCACATAGGCCGGTCATTTTTGACCAGGAACACCACAAGTGTGACTATGTGCCATATTTTTTACAAAACAAAAGTTTCAAAACAAAATTCTTGGTGAAAATGTTAAGTTGACTAGTGTGATCAACAATACCAATTTTCTTTAGATTTTATTTAATATTTCCAAAATTATTCAAAAATTAAAAAAAAAAACACTCAAACAATGAAATACCTACTCTCAAATAAATGAGGCCTATGATTATTCAGAGGCAAATCAAAATATAAAACCAGTCCTAATAGTGAAAATATGGTATAATGAGTGATTTATACGTTTGTTTGTTTTGTTTTTTTATGAGAGGCAGTCTAGTTCTTGGAGGCAGTGTGGTTCTGAGAGGCAGTATAGTTATTGGAGGCAGTGTGGTTCTAGCCACTTTCCGACCAAGTAGTTACAGGAACCTAGTTATAGGAACTGTCCACTTCTAAACAGTTCTAAGAACTACTCTCCCCCAAACTCGGTTTTTCTGCTTGCATTCGCACTGGCCAAGTGGCCATAGGAACTGGTAGGAGGGGTAACGCAAGCACGGCGTCTTTATCACTAGACGTAGCGTGGCCAATACAACAACAACAAACCAGCATGGAGGAGGCTATTATTGCAATGTTCCTGTTCTGCCTTGCTGGGACCTTAATTAACGGAGAACGAACGGTGGAGTTCAAAGATTATGCTTGAGTTCTGTAAGTTACAGAGAAACACGGAAGACGAAGGCTCCAGCGTAATATGATATTAACCCTCAGGTGCTCTTCGGTCATTTCTGACCGAAAAATTTTCTGTTTTGAAATTTAAAAAATCACAGCTTCATCGGAATGTTACGAAACTTGGTGACTTTTATGGCATTGGGTATGTGAACACACAAAAAATTGAGGTAATGATCCGAGCAGGCTAAGTGGTCGTAAAAAAAAAAAGTCACACTTGTGCTCTTTGGTCAAAAATGACCGACCATAGGAAATGAATGGGAAATTGACAAAAACACAAAAACTTTGAGAATTTTTGTGTGTACATACAATCTACAAATCGGCCACAATGCAGAAAAAAAGTGCTTAGCATTGAAGGAGTGACACTCTAAAACATCAAGAGTGTAAAACAGACATACCCACCCCTACACACACACACTTTTATACACAAAAAATACCAATAAATTGTGATTAAAGAAATCTGTTTTGAATATTTAAAAATCACAGCTTCTTCAGAAAATTACGAAACTTGACTTTTATGGCATTGTGTATGTGAACACACAAAAAAATGAGGTCATGATTGAGCAATTTAAGTGGTCGTAAAAAAATGAGTCACACTTTTGCTCTTCTGTCAAAAATGACCGACCCATAGGAAATGAATGGAAAATTGACAACAACAAAAAAATTCTCTGAATTTTTGAATGTACAATCTACAAATCGGCCACAATTCAAAAAAAAAAAAAGTACACCGCAGCAAAGGGGTGACACTCTACAACATCTAGAGTGCAAAACAGACACACCCACCAACACACTTTTATACACTTACACACCAATACATTTTGATTATAAAAAGTATGTTTTGAATTTTTAAAAATCACAGCTTCATCGCAATGTTACGAAACTTGCTGACTTTTATAGCATACATGTGAACACACACACAAAAAAAAAATGAGGTCATGATCTGAGCATGCTAAGTGGTCTTAAAAAAAGTCACACTTGTGGTCTTTGGTCAAAAATGACCCCCATAAGAAATGAATGGGAAATTGTAAAAAATGAAAAAAAAAAAAAAGTGATTTTTTTGTCAAATTTTTTAATAAGAAATAGTTTTTGAGATTGTTTCAACTATATATTCAAATCCACCAACAACAAAAAAAATGTGTTCATAAACAGCTGGGGAATTCACATAGAGAGCCTCTCCATAGAGAGCTGTACATGCCATCAAGTGGTTACATGATTTTTCTCTTTACTGTAACCAGATGGTGCTAATTTTCTTCAAAAAATATTTTTTTTCTGAAGGCCTAGACTCTATATTAAACTAAAATACTGTGTTAATATTATATATTACATAAATATTGCATAAATATTAATAAATTCAATTAAATTGTCTCAAAATACTAAATTAAAAAGAATAAATATTATAGAACAAAAATAAATTGCATTGGTTTTACTGGGATGGACAAAGTGTCATTTTTAGGTGTCCGGTCACTTTTGACTGGGAAGATAACAAGTGTGACTCCGAAACGAAGAGCACCTGAGGATTAAGTAATATGATGGAAGAAGATAAAAGAGCAGAGCGCAGGGGGCAAACAAAACGACGGGTAAGTTTAGCTAGCATTAGCAATTAGCTGGTTGAATGCGTTATGTTTGTCTTAATCCTCGTTGTAATGTTTTGCAAAAACGCACAGCGTATGGCAGACAGCGCGCTACAAGTTCCATGTTGACAGTGGGCATGGTTTATAAGTTGAACCAATCAACGTAGACCTAGGGAAAGGGAACTAAAAAAGTCCTCGCTCTAGACTAGGCACTGAAAGAGTTATAGGAACTACGGTCTGAGGAACTAAAAAATCCCCAATTTAGTCCGGTCGGAACACGAGAAAAAAAAGGGTTATAGGAACATTAGGTTCTAGGAACTGCAAAAATCCCTCCGGTCGGAAAGCGGCTTCTGAGAGGCAGTCTAGTTCTTGGAGGCAGTGTGGTGGTTCTGAGAGGCAGTGTGGTTCTGAGAGGCAGTGTGGTGGTTCTGAGAGGCAGTAATAGTTCTTGGAGGCAGTGTGGTTCTGAGAGGCAGTAATAGTTCTTGGAGGCAGTGTATTTCTGTGAGGCAGTGTCGTTCCCAGAGGCAGTGTGGTGGTTCTGAGAGGCAGTATAGTTCCTGGAGGCAGTGTGGTGGTTCTGAGAGGCAGTATAGTTCTTGGAGGCAGTGTGGTTCTGAGAGGGAGTGCCATTCTCAGAGGCAGTGTGGTTCTGAGAGGCAGTGTGCAGTAGCGGAGTGGCAATCGGGAGAGTCGGGACTTTTCCCGGTGGGCCGGTATTGTTTTGAGGCCGTGAGGTCCGGTCGGTCTGATAATAGTTATACTTAGGGATGCACCGATAGCACTTTTTTGGAAAATGAGTACGAGTACTTGCATTTCAGTACTCGCCGATACCGATACCGAGTACTTAATAAAAATAAAATAAAAAACATGATTTAAATATTTTTATATACGGGTTTTTAGGTCCTTGATTAAATTACTTGGGTAACACTTTACTAACTATAAGTAACTTTCAATTACATGTCAACTAACTGTCATTAGAGTATTAGTAGACTAGAGTATTAGTACGATCAGCTTAATATCCGATAACACTTTATTTATTTGGTCCCCCAACAGACATTCAACTGACTATAAGTAACTTGGCGACTACAAGTAAACTTATTCTCCTAACCCAAAGCCATTCACTTTGAAATTGTTCCACACCAGTGATGCACGGGTTGATCCAAAATGAGTGGGTGCCTGCGCCGCGGTCACCCGCGGTTACGGGTCATCCAAAAATATTTTTAATGATATTCGGGTCGCGGTCGGTCAGGTCTTTTGGAAAAAGATGCCGATTAAACCTTTGCATTTATATAGTACTAGATACAATTTTCTATGAAATATATAGGCCGAATTTATTTATTGGCTGAATAACTGGCACGAAGATGACACACAAGCTCAGTCTAAACAGTTCTCAGTTCTGTACTGGTGTGATCCGAGAACCGCTGTACCTCTTCGTTCGTTACTATGCGAAAATTCTGAAAAGTGAGTAACTTTAGTAACTCGTGGATCAGCATTGACGCAAGACGTGAACTGTTGCGAATAATTCAGTTCGATTTAGCGTACTGGTTCGACCGGTTCATTAAAAAGAACCGATTCGTTCACGAACCGGCCATGTCTATGATCACTAGTCTGCAGAGAGATGGAGGCGGCAAGAGAAAAGGTGAAGACTGGGGAGTGGAAGCTCCGCAAATAAACAAATAGAAAGAGTAAGTGTGGGAGACATTTACCGAAATAATGAAAGATGATGACCAAAGTGCTGCCTTTGTTATATGTAGGCTACGTCTTCTTGCGATGCTATGTTGTTACACGTTTATGGCCCAATGATGCTACGATGAGCATGTACTACTTTTAAAAAATACGGTCAGGAAGAGGGTCGGGTACAAAATTTTCTTAATTTTTTTGCGGCCCGAGTAGCGGGCGGGTAGTTGAAAACGTTGGTAGTGTGCGGGTTGTTTATACATTGACCCGCGCATCACTGTTCCACGCGGCTGACATGTCTCCCCATCTCCCCGCTCTGAGCTGCAGCCGGAGCCTGGGGGTGGGCACTCGGCGCCTGTGATTAACCCATTTCTCAGAACATGGTAATCGGTCCCCGGTATCGGGGGACTTTTAAACGAGTACGAGTACTTTAGAAAATTTGGTATCGAGGCCGATACCAGATACCGGTATTGGTGCATCCCTAGTTATACTAGTGTCTGATATTATATTATTAGCAATACCATCTGGCGGCAGGCGGCCTGATGTGCGGCCGCTTCCGCCGGTCAAACTGTCACTGTGCAGCCTCTCTGTCTCCGCTCAACACTGTGCGCACTGCGAAGCTCAACCCGTTCAGCAGGTCCAACCATGTTGGTCCTGGATTTTCAAAAACATAGGGGGGTCAGAGCGCGGCGGCCCCTCCCTAAATGGTATAGCCTGACGGCCGGCCTTTGATGTAAGAAGCCACCGAACACCTCTTTTCCCGCTTCATGTTTTGAAAGTTTAACGG